AATTAACTAACATCAAATATTCTGTCTAACACTATTAATAGCTTAATTTCAATGAAAATAGCAAATCTCGGCGATTCCAGCATCTTACTAAGATTTATTATTTTCAATAAAATTTAAGTAATCTCTAATACTCTTTGCCTAACACTCTACTAAGGACTTAATTTTACAGAAAATTACAAATGTTAGTAACTCCTGCATCTATCTAAGATTAATTATTTTGAATAAAATCAAGCAATATCAAATATTTTGTCTAACACTATATTAAGAGTTGAAATTCATTGAAAATTACAAATCTCGGTGACTCCCGCATCTCATTCAGATTTATTATTTTCAATAAAATTTAAGTAATCACTAATACTGTTTGCCTAACATTATACTAAGGACTGAATTTTACTTACAATTACAAATCTCAGTGACTCCTACATATCACTAAAATTTATTATTTTCAATAAAATTCAACAAATATCAACCAATTTGTCTAACACTATTAATAGCTAAAATTTAATGAAAATTACAAATCTCGGTGACTCCTGCATCTCACTAAGATTTATTATTTTTAATAAAGTTCAACCAATCTCTAATACTTTTTGCCTACCACTCTACTGATGACTTAAATTTATTTAAAATTACAAATCTCGGTGACTCCCGCAACTCACTAATATTCATTATTTTCAATAAAAATCAACCAACATCTAATATTCTGTCTAACACTATCAATAGCTTAATTTCATTGAGAATAACAAATCTCGGTGACTCCCGCATCTCCCCAAGATTTATTATTTTCAATAAAATTAAAATAATCTCTAATACTCTTTGCCTAAAGTTATCCTATGGACTTAATTTTACTGACAATTACAAATCTCGGTGACTCTCGCATATCACTAAAATTTAATATTCAATAAAATTCAACAAATACCAACTAATTTGTCTAACATTATCAATAGAAAAAAATTATTGAAAATTACAAATCTCGGTGACTCCCGCATTTCACTAAGATTTATTATTTTCAATAAAGTTCAAGCAATCTCTAATACTTTATGCTTTCCACTCTACTGATGACTTAATTTTATTGAAAATTAAAAATCTCGATAACTCCCGCAACTCACTAAGATTCATTATTTTCAATAAAAATAACCAACATCTAATATTCTGTCTAACACTATCAATAGATTAATTTCATTGAAAATAACAAATCTTGGTGATTCCCGCATCTTACTAAGATTTATTATGATCAAAAAAGTTCAAGCAATCTCTAATACTTTATGCTTTCCACTCTACTGATGACTTAATTTTATTGAAAATTACAAATCTCAGTAACTCCCGCAATTCACTAAGATTCATTATTTTCAATAAAAATCAACCATCATCTAATATTCTCTTTAACATTATCAATAGCTTACTTTCATTGAAAATAACAAACCTCGGTGACTCCCGGATCTCACTAAGATTTATTATTTTCAATAAAATTCAAGCAATCTCTAATACTCTTTGCCTAAAATTATACTAAGGACTGAATTTTACTAACAATTACAAATCTCGGTGACTCCTACATATCACTAAAATTTATTATTTTCAATAAAATTCAACAAATATCAACTAATTTGTCTAACACTATTAATAGCAAAAATTTATTGAAAATTACAAATCTCGGTGACTCCCGCATCTCACTAAGATTTATTATTTTCAATAAAGTTCAACCAATCTCTAATACTTTTTGCCTACTCACTAAGATTCATTATTTTCAACAAAAATTAACTAACATCAAATATTCTGTCTAACACTATTAATAGCTTAATTTCAATGAAAATAGCAAATCTCGGCGATTCCAGCATCTTACTAAGATCTATTATTTTCAATAAAATGCCATTGATAATTAATAATAATAAAATGGGTATTACATTTTGCCTAACACTCTACTGATGACACAATATTACTGTAAATTACAAATCTCGTTGACTCCTGCATCTCACCAAGATTTATTATTTTCAACAAAATTCAAGCAATGCAAATATTTTTTCTAACACTCTATTAACAGCTGAAACTCATTGAAAATTACAAATCTCGGTGGCTCCCGCATCTTACTATATGATTTTCAATAAAATTCAACAAATATCAAATAATTTAGCTAACACTCTATTAATTTCAAAATTTCATTGAAAATGACAAATCTAAATGACTCCTGCATCTCACTAAGATTTATTATTTTCAATAAAGTTCAAGCAATCTCTAATATTTTTTGCCTACCACTCTACTGATGACTTAATTTTACTGAAAATTTCAAATCTCGGTGACTCTCGCAACTCAATACGATTCATTATTTTCGATAAAAATCAACCAACATCAAATATTCTGTCTAACACTATTAATAGCTTAATTTCATTAAAAATAACAAATCTCAGTAAGTCCCGCATCTCACTAAGATTTATTATTTTCAATAAAATTCAAGTAATCTCTAAAACTCTTTGCCTAACACTCTACTAAGGACTTAATTTTACTGACAATTACAAATCTTGCTGACTCCCGCATCTCACAAAGATTTATTATTGTCAATAAAATTCAAAAAATATCAAAGAATTTGTCTAACACTCTACTAATAGCAAAAATTTATTGAAAATTATAAATCTTAGAGACTCCCGTATCTCACTAAGATTTATTATTTTCAATAAAGTGCAAGCAATCTCTAATACTTTTTGCCTACCACTCTACTGATGACTTAATTTATTCAAAATTACAAATCTCGGTGACTCCTGCAAATCACTAAGATTCATTATTTTCAATAAAAATCAAGCAACATCAAATATTCTGTCTAACACTATTAATAGCTTAATTTCATTGAAAATAAAAAATCTCGGTGACTTCCTCATCTCACTAAGATATATTATTTTCAATAAAAATCAAAAAATATCAAACAATTTCTTTAACACTATACAAAGGACTTAATTTTACTGACAATTTCAAATCTCAGTGATTCCCGCATCTCACGAAGATTTATTATTTTCAATAAAAATCAACAAATATCAAACAATTTCTCTAACACTCTGATGGAATCATACCTAGGAAGGAAAGGGGTGACACATTGAAGGAGCCAAGAGGAGTTGGCTAGACATGAAGGTTTGGGCCAGTCAAGGCCCAATTTAAGCTTCACATGGGCCATTTCTTAATAAATCCATTTTTCTTATATTTTGAACATATTATATTAGTATAGGTTTCAAATATTTTGGTCTTGTATTTTGGACCACATAGAGTAGCATTTTTGGGCCATAGGCTTATTGGGCCTAGTTTTGGGCTTCATGGGCCTTTGAGCTTTTGGTACCCAATATTAGGCTCATTTTCATTCTTGTAATTTTTCTTATTCATTGTATTTGATTGACCATTTTATTTAGGTCATTAGATTAGGATTTAAGGAGGATTATTAGTTTAAGTGAATTAGGCAAAACTATGTTTAATTTAGCATGCATTTAAGTTGCATTTTAAGTCACATGGATGGTGCCACCTTGGCTGAACATGTGTGACTCAAATGCAACCCTAAATGCACACTAAATCAAACCTAAATACACCTAGCATCAATGTGAACCGGACTTGTACATATGAGTTAAGTTTTGAATTCAAATTCAAAATTTGAATTCAAAACTTGGCGCCACATGTGAAGCCTCCACATTGGCGCCAAGTTTCCCTAATTCCGGATCCATTTAAGCTACCTCCTTCACACATTGTAATCACTTTTGAGATATATGAAATTTGAGAGCATTTTTTGCCAAGTTTCTTCCAAAAGTCACCAAGAGAGAGCCATCACTTTTTAGGAACCCTAGCTAGGTTTCCTACCTTTTGAAGTAAGCTTTCCTTTGTTCCTTACGCTTGGATGCTTCCATCCATAGTCTAGGAACCCTAAGTCCGAAATCTTTCCTCCATTCAAGTGTTCATACATTCATATTTCAAGCTTCATTGAAGAGGTCCAAGCCTAGGCGAATCCAAGGAGAAGAACACCTTTCACTTCTCCTAGTTTTGCCATCATTTTTGGTATCAAGAGCAAGGTTCTTCTTGGAAATAAGTTTCCTTAATTTTTTTGGTCCGTTTGTATTGTTGTCTTTGTGTTCTTGTGTGTCTTGTTTGAGTTTCATTTCAGATCTATTTGTTTTTGAAAAAAAAATTCTATCCATAGATCCATTGATTGATTGTATTTTGATTTTCTTTCACAATCAATATGTTTAGGAACTATTTGCTTGTGCTTCTTTTTGTTTTTGTTTGATTCTCTCATTTCTTAGCATGTGTCCGTGATTGGACTTCATCCATTACATTAGATTTTTGTTTTTGAATCCTTGTTTTGTCTTAGAAAGTTATGTGTAGTTCTTTATATGTTGATAATTCCTAGAATAGCTTGTTTAGCCTAATTGTTTGTGTGTTGTTTGTGTCCAAAATTTTTTGCATATTTTCTTATTGAATCTGAACCTTAGCTATATGTGCTTTTGTTTTACATATTTGAGTTCATGATTTGCTATTAGTTCTAGCAAATTTCTTAGAGTTAGGTTTCTATTATGTCTTGTTAAAAAAGTTTGTCAAAAAAATTGTTAAACACTACTTCTCTATTAGGTTTTTTTGAGTCTTGTGTGTGGCTGAAACTATATCAAATTTTAAAGCCTTAAAATAGAGACAAACAGAGATGTATGCGTTCTTAATGCATGAGAAAATAAAATAAAAATAGTGCATAAAAATTTGACCTAAAAACATTGCAAAATTGTGAAGCACTAATTACAAAATGCATGTGAACACCTCTTGTTTTGTGTAAAAGTTTTTGCTGCAAAGGAGGCTTTATAAGGCGGGAGGTTCTCTAACCTCTTGGGCCGGCTTTTGAGGAATGGTTCCCCTCCTTAGCCTTATGCTTGTTACAATGGTGCTTTCATTGAGAGCCAGCCCACTCGAGAAGGGCTACCCATGGAGGGTTCTGACCACCGGAGGGTTCTGACCGGCAAAGGCCGAGTGAAGTACCGGTGAGTAAAGTAGTCTTTCGGTGCAAGACACAGAATTTCAACTATCTAAACTATTAAGAACAATTCCGGATGATGCATATGGTGTAAATTTTACTGAATTTGAAATAAGATCAGATACATCACAAATTTCAAATCAATACCAGGGGTCTTATTTGATTGGAATTGGATGTTACCGTGCAGTCTTCAATACTCTCATTGATAGCATATCTAAGGTTCATTCTCTTCACTTTTGTCTACTTACCTTCACTATTCATTCTAGCTATTAACAAAGAGAACATGAAATATCGAGAGGAAACTTCAATACTCACCATTTTTGAGCACCTTTTCCTTCTATAATCACCTAGCTTCATTTAAAAATACCTTATTTGAATACTCAGCAAGCCAAGTGATCATGCTCATATGAAGCAGTAGGAAATTGATTTCCATTTTCTTCCTGTTATGCTTGTTTTATGTTTGTTATATAAGTTGAAAGACGTATATGACATAAACAGAAATGCATCCGAATGATCTGCTGTTGATGGATACACAACAAAACTACTAACCAACTTTGTCTGAACTAATTAACATAACTATTTACGTTGTTATTTTCTTAAAAATGCCTTGGAATGACAAAAATAATGATTTTAGGAGTCCATTTGAAAAGCAGAAGTGCAAAAATGACTAAGCTTTTTTGCTTATGCTACAGGGATTGACAACCAACGAGTCTTGTGATATTTTTCTCCCTGGTGACAATTATCCTTACTGGTTGGCTCATACGGGTGAGGGACATTCAGTGTATTTTACTGTGCCCAAGGATTGTCGCATAAAGGGAATGACTTTGTGTGTTGTTTATTTATCAACCCGCGAAAACATGGCAACTAAATGTCTAGTTAGTGTTTCAATGGTTAATTACACAAAGTGCACCATGCAGATACACAAGCAAGACACAGTAATTTCATTTGATTGGCAGGGCATAATATCACATTTGGGACCTGGAGACAAGGTAAAAATTTTTGTGACTCTTGGGAATGGATTGGCAATCAAGAAGACAGCTGTCTATCTAATGTGTGATGAATCAATTGGCATGGAAATAAAGCCTTCTCCCAAGACAAAAATGGAAATGAAGCCTTCTCCCAAGACAAAAATGGAAATAAAGCCTTCTCCCAAGACAAAAATTCCTTCGAACCAAAAGGATAAAAAGCCTTCTCCCGAGACAAAAATTGCTAGGAACCAAAAGGGCCTATCAAGTGTTTTTGCTAGGCGGTAGCAGTAGTTAGAATAATGAAGGTCTCACTTTGACTTGGACTATGTGAAACTTATAAATACCCTTGTACATACGATTAGGGGGATTCATTTTTTGGTAATTGATAATAAACTGATTTTACAGTATGAAGGGGGTCTTTCTTCCCTTGGCAGAGCAGAATAATAGACTTTCTCTCTGATTCTCTTCCTTCTCCCATCTCTCTTCTATTTCAATTCTGAATCTTGACTGTTGGGATCTATCAGAAAATGTCATTGTTAGTTTTATAAAGATAGGAGAGGTTTTAAATTTTAATCAATTTTTACTGGGCTCGCCAAAAGTCAGTCTAGGATTCCCATACTTCTCGGAGAGAGGAGGGAAGAACTTATGAAACACATATATAAAGGAGAAATTCATCATAAAATCTCGATAAGAGTTCATTTCCCATTGTGCTAGGCCTCGTGGTGTCTAGACAAGGTGTGTGATACTGTGATGCAGTAGAATAGTAGCAATATTTGGTGGATGACAGGTATTCTAACCACAATTTGAATCAACAGACTTTGGGTATTCATAGGGCTGAAATTTCTGAAATCATTTTCATCTTCGAGTAGTATTGGTATGCACAACATGCCTATATTTTTTCAGAAAATATACGGTTAATACCTTCAATTATAATTGATGCCCTCTTGCTGCAAGGTAAATTACTATAGCTAAATATAAAGATAATATTAAAGTTTATGACCATTTGACCATAGATGGTTTCTGAATATTATTAATTTATTGTAGTATTATCTGTGTGGAATCGAAAAGATGGAAGAATTGGAAATCAACCATATTTTGATTTTGCAAAGGAATTTTTCAAGGAGGTCAAGAGGTGGCACCTTGAAGGAACTAAGAGGAATGTGCTAGACATGAAAATTTGGACCAGTCAAAGCCCAATGGGCTTGATGGGCTTGGAAGGCCCAAGTTGCTCCTCACATGGGTTATTTATTCATTAATTAACAATCCTGGATTTTCATAACTCCGGAACGGGTCGTTCCACTTTGGGAACAGGCTGTTCCAAATCAAAGCATGCGTGGGTAAAATTTTAACCCAGAACGGGTCGTTCCACTTTGGGAATGAGCCGTTCCGGATGTGTTTTTAAAAGACAAAGTCTTGACTCAGAACAGGCCGTTCTGGGTTTGGAACGGGCCGTTCTAGGAGAGATTTTTGTACATGTTCTATGTGCTCAGAACGGGCCGTGCCACCTTGAAACGGGCCGTTCCAAAAACCCCATAACGGGCCATTCTGGTTTTGGAACGGGTCGTTCTTGGAGAGGCTTTTGTACGTGTTCTACAGGATCAGAACGGGTCGTTCCGGATTCGGAACAGGCCGTTCTAGCTGTGACCTGATGCTTATAAATAGAACGTTTTTCATTCTCTAAAACTCTTTTTTTCATTTTCTAATCTTCTTCCTCCTTTCTCTTTGAAGACGAAGGGGAACCTAGAAGAGGCGACCAAAAAGATTCGGCTCCTACTTATCGAGGTAAGGGGGAGTGAGAAACCTCGCTCTGGGTGTGGGATTGTATGCTGGGTAGTGGGATTGGCCCCCAATCCTGTGTTTGTTGTATGTATTGTATGCTCATGTATGATGGGTTTCTCCCAATTGTATATGTTTTACTTATTATTTTTTTATATGCAATTAATTGTACGATTTGAGATCTCTATCGGTTCCTATGAGAAACCCTATGAGAAACAGACAAAATGCAAATGTTTTCTGTTTTAATTTCTGATTCTTCTGTTGTACTCCTTATTGAATGAGATGTATGAATATGTGATTAATTTTGAAAATAGGAAAGTTTTAGGTGACTCCTGCATCTCACTAAGATTTATTATTTTTAATAAAGTTCAACCAATCTCTAATACTTTTTGCCTACCACTCTACTGATGACTTAAATTTATTTAAAATTACAAATCTCGGAAAAATACAAATCTCGGTGACTCCTGTACTTGACTAAGATTTATTATTTTCAATAAAGTTCAAGCAATCTATAATACATTTTGGCTACCACTCTACTGAAGACTTAATTTTATTGAAAATTACAATTCTCGGTGACTCCTGCAACTCACTAAGATTCATTATTTTCAACAAAAATTAACTAACATCAAATATTCTGTCTAACACTATTAATAGCTTAATTTCAATGAAAATAGCAAATCTCGGCGATTCCAGCATCTTACTAAGATTTATTATTTTCAATAAAATTTAAGTAATCTCTAATACTCTTTGCCTAACACTCTACTAAGGACTTAATTTTACAGAAAATTACAAATGTTAGTAACTCCTGCATCTATCTAAGATTAATTATTTTGAATAAAATCAAGCAATATCAAATATTTTGTCTAACACTATATTAAGAGTTGAAATTCATTGAAAATTACAAATCTCGGTGACTCCCGCATCTCATTCAGATTTATTATTTTCAATAAAATTTAAGTAATCACTAATACTGTTTGCCTAACATTATACTAAGGACTGAATTTTACTTACAATTACAAATCTCAGTGACTCCTACATATCACTAAAATTTATTATTTTCAATAAAATTCAACAAATATCAACCAATTTGTCTAACACTATTAATAGCTAAAATTTAATGAAAATTACAAATCTCGGTGACTCCTGCATCTCACTAAGATTTATTATTTTTAATAAAGTTCAACCAATCTCTAATACTTTTTGCCTACCACTCTACTGATGACTTAAATTTATTTAAAATTACAAATCTCGGTGACTCCCGCAACTCACTAATATTCATTATTTTCAATAAAAATCAACCAACATCTAATATTCTGTCTAACACTATCAATAGCTTAATTTCATTGAGAATAACAAATGTCTAACACTATTAATAGCTTAATTTCAATGAAAATAGCAAATCTCGGCGATTCCAGCATCTTACTAAGATTTATTATTTTCAATAAAATTTAAGTAATCTCTAATACTCTTTGCCTAACACTCTACTAAGGACTTAATTTTACAGAAAATTACAAATGTTAGTAACTCCTGCATCTATCTAAGATTAATTATTTTGAATAAAATCAAGCAATATCAAATATTTTGTCTAACACTATATTAAGAGTTGAAATTCATTGAAAATTACAAATCTCGGTGACTCCCGCATCTCATTCAGATTTATTATTTTCAATAAAATTTAAGTAATCACTAATACTGTTTGCCTAACATTATACTAAGGACTGAATTTTACTTACAATTACAAATCTCAGTGACTCCTACATATCACTAAAATTTATTATTTTCAATAAAATTCAACAAATATCAACCAATTTGTCTAACACTATTAATAGCTAAAATTTAATGAAAATTACAAATCTCGGTGACTCCTGCATCTCACTAAGATTTATTATTTTTAATAAAGTTCAACCAATCTCTAATACTTTTTGCCTACCACTCTACTGATGACTTAAATTTATTTAAAATTACAAATCTCGGTGACTCCCGCAACTCACTAATATTCATTATTTTCAATAAAAATCAACCAACATCTAATATTCTGTCTAACACTATCAATAGCTTAATTTCATTGAGAATAACAAATCTCGGTGACTCCCGCATCTCCCCAAGATTTATTATTTTCAATCAAATTCTATTGAGGCCTTAGATTTGGGTAAGACATTGATTTTTTATAATGTATTAAGAGTTTACGATTGGTGGAATTTTTGAAATCTATAGTTGTAGCCATTGAATCCAAGGATGAAGTATGTTGAGAATGGGAGTTTGTCAATAGCTTAATTTCATTGAGAATAACAAATCTCGGTGACTCCCGCATCTCCCCAAGATTTATTATTTTCAATAAAATTAAAATAATCTCTAATACTCTTTGCCTAAAGTTATCCTATGGACTTAATTTTACTGACAATTACAAATCTCGGTGACTCTCGCATATCACTAAAATTTAATATTCAATAAAATTCAACAAATACCAACTAATTTGTCTAACATTATCAATAGAAAAAAATTATTGAAAATTACAAATCTCGGTGACTCCCGCATTTCACTAAGATTTATTATTTTCAATAAAGTTCAAGCAATCTCTAATACTTTATGCTTTCCACTCTACTGATGACTTAATTTTATTGAAAATTAAAAATCTCGATAACTCCCGCAACTCACTAAGATTCATTATTTTCAATAAAAATAACCAACATCTAATATTCTGTCTAACACTATCAATAGATTAATTTCATTGAAAATAACAAATCTTGGTGATTCCCGCATCTTACTAAGATTTATTATGATCAAAAAAGTTCAAGCAATCTCTAATACTTTATGCTTTCCACTCTACTGATGACTTAATTTTATTGAAAATTACAAATCTCGATAACTCCCGCAACTCACTAAGATTCATTATTTTCAATAAAAATAACCAACATCTAATATTCTGTCTAACACTATCAATAGATTAATTTCATTGAAAATAACAAATCTTGGTGATTCCCGCATCTTACTAAGATTTATTATGATCAAAAAAGTTCAAGCAATCTCTAATACTTTATGCTTTCCACTCTACTGATGACTTAATTTTATTGAAAATTACAAATCTCAGTAACTCCCGCAATTCACTAAGATTCATTATTTTCAATAAAAATCAACCATCATCTAATATTCTCTTTAACATTATCAATAGCTTACTTTCATTGAAAATAACAAACCTCGGTGACTCCCGGATCTCACTAAGATTTATTATTTTCAATAAAATTCAAGCAATCTCTAATACTCTTTGCCTAAAATTATACTAAGGACTGAATTTTACTAACAATTACAAATCTCGGTGACTCCTACATATCACTAAAATTTATTATTTTCAATAAAATTCAACAAATATCAACTAATTTGTCTAACACTATTAATAGCAAAAATTTATTGAAAATTACAAATCTCGGTGACTCCCGCATCTCACTAAGATTTATTATTTTCAATAAAGTTCAACCAATCTCTAATACTTTTTGCCTACCACTTTACTAATGATCACAAAATTTAAGCCAATTCTGATTTTCAAATTTTTTCATCACTTTGGTCTGTGAAAACTTTGAACTGCCATAACTATTGATCCAGGCGTCAGAATTGGCATTATTATATATGCTTTTGGGGTAGAAAAATGGGAACTATCACCTGCCAATCGACAGAGTCCATTTGGCCACGCTCGGATTTTCAAAAAGAGGCCGTTTTCTATTTCTCTATCACCTTATTTTTCTAAGCTTTCATTTAGTGGTTCCTATAGCTATCCATTGAACTTTGCTCTGGAATTTGGTGTGCTATCTTTTCGTCATTTCAGGGTGTTGCTCTCAAAATTTAAGCGAATTCTGATTTTCAATTTTTTTCATCACTTTGGTCTGTGAAAACTTTGAACTGCCATAACTGTTGATCCAGGCGTCAGAATTGGCATTATTATATATGCTTTTGTGGTAGAAAAATGGGATCTATTAACTGCCAATCGACAGAGTTCATTGGCCACGCTCGGATTTTCAAAAAGAGACCGTTTTCTGTTTCTCTATCGCCTTATTTTTCTAAACCTTCTTTTAGTGGTTCATATAGCTATCCTTTGAAATTTGCTCTAGAATTTGGTGTGCCGTCTTTTCATCATTTCACGGTGTTGCTCACAAAATTAATCATTTATGAAAATTATTTTATATAATATTATTAATTACGATATTTTGTTATAATTATTATTTGAATAAAATTGTTTTAAATTGTATTGATGTTTTATTTTAATTTGATATATATATATATATATGTTATTTATTTATTCATTAATTAACAATCCTGGATTTTCATAACTCTGGAACGGGCTGTTCCACTTTGGGAACGGGCCATTCCAAATCAAGCATGCGTGGGTAAAATTTTAACCCAGAACGGGCCGTTCCACTTTGGGAACTG